AGTCGCCGCAAAAATGATCTGTTTGATGTGATACAGCCATTTGGAATCGGCCAACGCTTTCAACCACCGTCCGTCCTCGGGGCGTGGAAAACAGGCCTCGAACACCTTGGTCAGTGCGGCGCGCATTGCATGGATGTTCTGTATATTGAGGAACATGTATTGCACATTCTCGTAGTATGTGGGGTTCTCAACGCCACCACCTCGACCCTTGTTTGCCACTGCATTGGCCTGAATGCGGGAGATCAGGATACGAGGGAGAAAGTGGTGGAAAGAGACAATGCTACTTCCAATTAGTACAATTAAGTTCATCCCACATTATACAACATCGAGAAAATGAAACGGAAGATACCAAAAGGAGATTGTTGGTTTATTCCATTTGGGAAAGAAACATGAAATCCACCTCATTCTTTGGAGGATTCAAATGGTTAAACTTGTGGGAGCATTCGGTAAAATAAGATGGCGGTGGTTACCTGATATAGGTTATGATCGCATCATTTTGGAGGTCATGTGTGTGTGAATTCAACATGCGCCATCAACCTATTCTATCCCTCGGTAATCTTTGACCATCCGTTTCCTTCCTTCCTGAGCGTTGATAACATGCGTCAGAAGGATTCTTAGACACCATACACGGTGTCATAAGCACTGTTGAATATCGAAGCAGCGGTGATGGTCAACCGAAATGCGTGGCACACCGTGGTTAGTGCTTGTTCGTCCACACCGCGCCATTACCTCCCAACTTCCCCACCACCTGATTGAAAGATAGCCTTTCATTGACCACGACCGCATTCCTGAATAATGATTGTAAAATTACCTTATGGATAGCTGTTCTCTTTGCTGTTATAGACTCAAAAACTAACACGATTAGTCAGGATGACTGTTAAATCCATGTTTAACACCCGTTCTCGTGCAGAGGTTGTTGACAGAAACTGGGGAGAAAACTGGTCGCTTCCTTTGCACTGTCTGAAAGGATGGACTAACGACATGGGCCGACACGCACAAAGACCGGTGGGGTACTGGAATTGTCTGATCAAACAACGCCTTCCATGAAGATAGTTGAATGGAAAGTATTGACTGCTCACCGGGAATTCTACACCTCATTTCCGTAGTGCTCGATCAGATTCATTTGGTTATATATCGGTCAGGACGGCATTTTAAATGAATAAAAAATATTGAGGTATTGAAGCGATTTTTGTCAAACCACCGAATAATGTATCGCTGTGAGACTCCATTATTCACAAACTGTCACGCGTCGACACTTCCGAAAATTTAATGAAATTGAAGCGTTATGTATTAAATAGAAGGAGGTGAAATTCAGAAAGAAAAGAAAAAACAGCGATTGCGGACTTAACACAACGCTGGATTGCGCCACACTAAATAAACCAGAGATATTCGTGCTATCATTGCTGTATGCCAATCACAAACAGATAGCACTTTTTCACTCGAGTTCACTACAGAAAGTGGTGTCCATAAAGGTTACCCTCTCTTTCTCTCCGTTTCTATTTAACTTGCTCAAAGATTTACTTCTTCAAACAGTCCTATCCTCGTGCAACGATAGCAGCATTTATGACAACGGCTGACCTGGAGTATGCCGACGACGTTGTGCTACTAAGTGAAGATCCAGGTAAGTTACAAGCTTTTCTGGATAGCCTAAGTGCCAGCGTAGCCATGTTCTGCATGCGGTTTGCACCTTCAAAGTGTAAAATGTAGCTACAAGATTGGGATGGTCCAGCACCCAGCTTCACTCTAACTGGAGAGGTGAGAGAGCAAGTGGACAAATTTTGTTAGTTGAGCAGCTATGTCGCAACTGGCGGATGAATCACAGATTATCGGCTCGCATACAGAAAACCTGACTGGCATTTGCCAACTTGAGATATTTGTGGCGCCGCCGCGACATCGGAGTAAATGCTGCGGCAGTTCGGCCGCGGAGACTTGGCCATTAAGAAAACAGGATAAAGGTAGACTGTCGGTGTTCGAACACTACGGTCTACGCAACGTTGTACGAATCATTTGAGGTAACCAGACGAGCTATGCTGAGCTTAGACGCACAGTTTTAGGTAGTCGCGGTCGCCCATAGATTACGTTGGTTGGGGCGTATTTACCCTTGTCACAAACACGTTAATTCGACGCGCGGTGTTCGTCGAGGCAGGTGGTGGGTGGAATAAAGTCAAAGGTGGTCAAGCTAAAACCTGGCATGAGGGTGTGAAAACCCAAACCAGGATACTTGGTTACATGGGTCGCGTGTGGCTCCCTGGACGGGAACCTCAGGATGATCGTAACCAGTGGTTAGAGACAATGAATGATGTGGTTGAGTGTCGTGCATCTTCTCAACTTCTCTATAGGCTTAGTTCATTGAAATGCTCCATTTTCTCTTCGATTGTACTTTCAACTTTCTTATCTTTCTCCTATTGTTCATCCAAGTGATCAGCCAAAAGACACCAACCAAAATCGGCGCATGAAAGTGTATCGTTATTGGCTGTACAAAGTCAAAGTGAAACTACTGTCTTTCAACACTCAGCACGTGACTAACTAGGTCAGATAAACATGGGTCATGTGATCGTTTCACACACACACACACACAACCAAAATCCAAATTAAGTACTTTTAAATACGCGCAAAAAAACAAAGCGATATGTATATGCAG